CGGCGATCCTTCTGCCTCAGCCTTCCCAGTAGCCGGAATTACAGGCATGTGCTACGATGCCCGGCTGATTTTTTGATTTATTGTAGAGATGAAGTCTCGCTGCCCAGGCGGGTTTTGAACCCGCGGGCTCAGGCAATCCCCTCACCTCAGCCTCCCAAAGGCGTGGGATTACAGGCTGAGCCACTGAGCCTGGCTGATTATTCATACTTTAAAGGAAAAGAGAGTCTTACATCAATAAAATATACCAGTGAGGATCTATTAAAAGTGTCTGCCAGGGCCTGGGTTTGCTGCTAAAAGTAAATGGGAGGATTTGATAGGAAACTGCAGTGACTGCAGTGTCTTGTGGTATTTCTTCCTTACACCGAGCAACTGTCTTCTCTCCAAGTTTTACTCACTTTCACTCTCTATTACTCTGGCTCTCAGTGCCCTGTTATTATTTCAATGTAGTCCTGAAAATATCCTCCATAATTTACTTGGTGCTCTAAAGGAAGGCTCTTCAAGGTTGCTGACTTCAGCCCTCAGCATCCTGCAGAGCAGAATTACTAGGAGATGGAACATGGCTTGGGCTGCTACTATTTTCTTTCTGTGTAACATTAACCACTTATTTCCGTTATCAATCTAAGTTTCACCTGTGTTTCATTTGCTTGTTGTGTTTCCTCACTTATAAATTATTTTCTCAGCTGGTGTGGTGACTTGTGCTTGTAATTCCAGCACTTTGGAAGGCCAAGGTCGGAGCACTGCATGAGCCCAGGAGTTTGAGACCAGCCTGGGCCACATTGAAAGGCCTCACCTCTACAAATAATAATAATAAAAAGTAATAGGGTGTGGTGGCTCATACCTGTAATCCCAGTACTTTGGGAGGTAGAGGTGAAAGGATGGCCTGAGCTCAGAGTTTGAGACCAGCCTGGGCAACTTGGCAAGACCTCATCTCTACAATAAATCAAAAAATCAGCTGGACATCGTGGTGTGCACCTATAGGTCCAGCTACTTGGAAAGCTGAGGCGGAAAGATCGCCTGAACCCAGCAGTTGGAGGCTGTGGTAGCTGTGATCATGCCACTGCATGCCTGAATGAAAGAGTGAGACTCCAACTCAATAACAACAACAAACAACAACAATTAATCAGCTGGATGTGGTGGAGTGCACCTGTAGTCCTAGCTACTTGGGAGTCTGAGATGGGAGGATCGCTTGAGCCCATGAGGTCAGGGCTGCAGTGAGCTGTGATTACACCACATGTGCACTCCAATCTGGGCAACAGAGTAAGACCCTGTCTCTATAAACAAACACACAAACAAGTAATTAAATAAGTTTAACTATTTTACTAATTTAAAAGTTTCTATTTCAAATTTCTGGAGACAAGTTTGTTACCAAATTATTTGTGTTCAGTCCAACTCTTTCATCTCAGGGAGGGGGTGCTCCTTTCCTATTCAAGGTCACTGCTACTTGCTGCCCAGCTCCAGGGTCTACTCTTGAGGATTTCATTTATCTCTTGTTTCTTGTTTTATTTATTTATTTATTTTTGAGTCGGAGTCTCATTCTGTCACCCAGGCTAGAGTACAGTGGCACACTCATGGCCACCTCAGCCTCAACCTCCTGGGCTCAGGAGATCCTTCTGCCTCAGCTTTCCAAGTAGCTGGAACTACAGGTGTATGCCACCATACCCGCCTAATCTTGTTATTTTTAAAAACTTTTTATTTATAAATAATTTTACATTTATAAAAGTACTGCAGAGATAATATAGAAAGTTTGCATATACCCTTTACCAGCTTCCCCCACATTGACATCTTGCATAACCATGGTACATTTATCAAAACTAGGAGAGGGTTAAAAACATTTCTTGCTTATGAAATGGTGGTAATGCATAATCACTTTTTAAAGTTGTTCTTACTTGACAAAATTAAAATGTCAGCAACCTTATTTCAGTTCTTTTTTTTTTTTTGAGTTGGAGTCTCACTCCGTCGCCCAGACTGGAATGCAGTGGCCGCTTCCGGCCACCACAGTCTCGACCTGCAGGGCTCCGGCGATCCTTCCACCTCAGCCTTCCAAGTAGCTGGAACTACAGGCATGCCCTACCACGCCTGGCTAATTTTTGATTTATTGTAGAGATGAGGTCTCGCCAAGTTGCCCAGGCAGGTCTCAAACCTGCGTGCTTAGGCAATTCACTCACTTCGGCCTCCTAAGGCGTGGGATTTCAGACTGAGCCACTGAGCCTGGCCTATGTCAGTTCTTAATTTTAATTTTGTTTTGTTTTGATTTTTTAAAAATTCACTGGGAGCCACTGGTTTACTGTCAGCCATTACCTCCTCTACCATTTTCCCCTCATCTATTCCTGCAAAATATCCCTGGTCACAATCACAGTTACCGGGTGGTTGTCACACTGACAGGGTCTGTTTTAGGCCTTCCGCATCTTGATCCGTCTTTGCTTTGTCTTTGCTTCCAGGACTCTCTAGCGGGTTTCTTTTTCTTTTTTTTTTATTATAAAGATGTGGGGTACAATTCAGGGTTAGGTATACAAACATTGATTGTGCAGGTACCCTTGTTGATGTGGTGTGTCCCTCCCTCCCCTAGCAGTTTCCCTCAACTGCCAATCCCACCTCCCTCCCCTGACAGTTTCCCACTACTG